AGCAGATGACGATTTTTCGGAAACTCCTCCTACTACAACGTGTACAATTTGTCGAGGACTATGCCAAATTAGTGGGGGTACCTAAGTTTTTGAATGACTGATCCTCTGCCTTTGCAGATATACATACTCCCTCCCCTTCTTGTTAAAATAAATATTTACATATTGAGCGGCAAACAGGAAAGTACCGGAACACTCAAGTTCAGACANACCAACGTGCACGTGTAGTGAATTCTGGACCTTCTCCCGCTCGCGTTAGAATTCGTTTTCATCTCGCCCATCGCTCGCTGATTCCACAGATCTCAGACCCGGCATCGAACATTTGGGTTGGAAAAATAATCAATAGAAAAATTCAATAGAATTCGATTTGTTTTCTATATAACTTATTCTATTGAGATATTTTCTATAGAATTTCTTCTTCTGAAATTTTCTNAGTGGAGCCAGGTGTCAATATTTGAAGAAGAGGAGCCCATTCTATGATTTCTACAGTTGCGAAATAATTAACCCCTTCACTCACCCCCTCACGGGGTGGTTTGACTAGATCACCGAGAAGGTCCTTTGTAACGCAAAACCGCGAATTAAATTGATTAACCAGCGAATTAAATAACCCTTTCATCACTTTGAGGGAAAAAACCGCGAATTAATTAATTNATATTCTATTGAACATTTTACTAGAATCGGCCAAAAACTAGTAGAAAATTAAAAACAAACTGCAACAGAAATTCCTAACAAATTCGCTAGATTTTTCTATTAAATTTTTTCATACGCAGTTTTTGAAAATTCTTAGGTTTTCGAGAAAATTTCAAGAAAATTTTCCGGATTTCGAGAAAATTATCGGAATGACTCTGGCGAACCAAGTTGAACATTGAGAGTTAGTTGAGAATTGGAGCAACGACGACTACAACGCATTTTATGCTAGCCCCTCTCAATATTATCAACTTTTTGAAAATTGAGAATTGGATTTGTAATTCTTGGTTATCTCTTTATTTCCAATGAACTTTTTCAGAATTAAAAATTAATTCCAGCACAATTTTAATGGATTTTTTTTTTTAAAGATAATTTGAAATGAAATTTCTAGGGAACGGAAATTTTTAAAATTAAATAGGAACAGGAGCCGAAAAAAAGCGAAAAATGACTCCTGGCCATTCATTAGAGCCTAGAAAGATCAAGATCAAGGTTGAACGTCAGTCAACTTTGGGCCAACTTTGCATTGACATTTGGTCAACTTTGGGTCAACTTTAGCTTGGCCTTGGGTTAACCTTGGCTTGACCACGAGTCAACCTTGGCTTGACCACGAGTCAACCTTGGCTTGACCGCGGGTCCACCTTGACCATCAATCCACCTTGGCTTGACCATGGGTCAACCTTGGCTTGACCATGGGTCAACCTTGGCTTGACCATGGGTCAACCTTGACCTGACCATGGGTCAGCCTTGGCTTGACTGTGGGTCAACCTTAGCTTGACCGCGGGACCTGTTGATTAAATCTTGATTTAACCTTGATTAAACTCTCCTTAAACCTCGATTAAATTCTTTTTAGGCTATAATTTCAAAGCAAATGATGCGATCGCCGCTATCTTCGAACTCGACCAAGATAACATCCAAAAGAATATGTTAAGCCATAATTGAAAAGATTTCGGCGATTATTTTTTGAATGATCGTCGAAAAACTAAATTTGAAAAAAAAATCATATACGTACATACATACATATATGCGGACATGATCTAAAAACTGCATATTCGAACTCCTAAGACCAAAATTACTCATCCTGGCACAAAAAATGAAAATTTCAGATTTGACGAATACATCAGGGCTTCCATTCGGAAGCAAAAAATCCAACTCTCAACTATCACAAAAATTGTCAAGTAGATTGAGCGAGAATTAAGAATAAAAAATCCTATTTTCATGAACAAAAAAATTCAACTTTTAATTCCCAAAAAAGATGAAAGTAGATTGTGAGACAATTGAAAATCAAAAATGCAACTCTTGATTTAAAGAAAAATTAAGTCGATTGAAAGATAATAGAGAATAAAAGATGCAACTGTCAACTGGAAAAAAAATTGAGAATAGATTCAGAGATAGTTGAGAATCAAAATTCCAAAGTCAAATTTTCAATTCTGAAAAAAGTTGATTGAAATTGAAGAAGTCACTAAAAATAACAAATCCAATTGTCTGTTTTAACCCGTCACTAGGCACGCTATGAGCGATTTCCTCACAAAAATTTTCACTCCATAGGAAATATACCCTAAAGGCGCCAATCTTTTGCTGAATTTTTTTATATGCCGTAAGTAACTCTGCTAGTTGACTCTCGTGGTGATAAAAGTTGTCTATTGGTCAGGGTTGAGTAGAAAAATAATATTTTCTTCGGCACGGTTGAAATTTTCCACGTGTTACGGGTACGGGGATCGTGCCGCAGAACGCCGAACAGCACCGCCTATGGCGATATTTGGCTCTATTATTACGAGAAGCCGATGAGCGATTCCCTCATCGCGCGTCTCAAGAACGGTGGTGGAACCGCGCGCCTACTGACGGGTTAAAAAAAGTCGATAGTAAAGAGATCGGTTTGCATAAATTGTATTTTTGGCTTCGTCACTCCGGCTCTCAACTGACTCAATTCTCTCTTAAACACAGGAAATTATGGAGAGTCCAACTATCAACTTGGTTCGCCAAGGATATCCCTATAATTTTCTCGAAAACCGGAGAATTTTCGTAGAATTTTCTCGAACACCTAAGAATTTTCTAGAACGTTCTCGAACACCTTAGAATTTCCTCGATTTGTTTTTGAAAATTCGAGATATTGTTACAGGGAATGGTGGGGCAATACGGACACCAGATTTAAATAATGAGTTGAATTTGATCAAATCTACTCTTCCGACTTCATTTGAAGGTCATAAAAACCAACACATTCTCATAAGACTGCGTCGTAAAAAAAAACAGGGTAAAATGGACACCTTGATTTCTTCCTCAATTTTTTATCTTTCAACAATTTTATTCAATTTCTGAAACGCTATTCATGATTGCCATTTTCAAATTGAAAAAAAAAAAATTTTGGACGTTCGTCGTGGGGGGTGGTAAATTAAATTTTTCCTTGCTCATTTATCCTCTCCGCCTATTGTTTTATGGTGATTTCCTCTGTGCGTAGAAAAGTAACCATCTTACAAATTTCGCAAATGAACAAAAGGTCAGATGTGTAGGGCAAAGCTACTGTATATTTCAAACTTCAATGTAAAATTTAATAGACTCGAAGTTGGTTTATTAATATCTTTCCCAACTCTAATTTTTTCTTTATAAAAAGATACCGACACGATTCTGTTAGAAAATGTGATTTGAAAATTTTCTTTATTTTTGAATAGGACCACATTTTTTAGATGTCTATTTTCCCCCACTCTTGCATAATTTCTCAGTTGTAGACTTTGTCAAGAAGCAATTTTTAAAAATCAATTATTGAAAATGTTTTGAGTGTTCATTTTAGTCCCGTCCATACAGATTTATCAGGTGTCCACAATGCCCAATGAAACGATTTTCAAAATTTTGAATTAAACAAAAAAAATTCGCAAATTTTTGAGTGTCCATTTTACTCCAATTGTCCATATTACCCTACCCCCCTCTAATTTTTTCAAAAACCGGAGAATTTTCCTAGAATTTTCTCGAAAACCTAAGAATTATCTAGAACAGTCTCGAAAACCCAAGCTTTTTCTGGAATTTTCTAGAAAACTGAAGAATTTCTTTGAATTTTCCAGAAAATAAGAAAATTTTCTCGAAAACCTAAAAAAAATTTCTCGAACGGGCTCGGAAACTCTAGAATTTCCTCCAATTTTGTTTGAAAACTCAAAATATCCTTATAATTTTTTCGAAAACTGGAGAATTTTCAGAAATTTTCTCAAAAACCGGAGAATTTTCTCGAAAATGGGAAATATTTCTCGAAAACTTCATAGGAAACATGAGAAGATCTCCCGGAAAAAATAAACACGAACAGAATAAGAAACAAAAACTGCGGGGCCCCTTCCAAGCCCCACTTTTATATGTCACTCTGGTTTCCTGCCATTCCCGTAGTTACTGACATAGCTATGGTCGGGATAAAGCTTCTTGCTTTAACCGCAAACTGGGGGGGCGTAAAATCGCCACTCGGGGAAAAAATCCCTCCATCCGGGCCTTAAAAAACTATTAGATGCTGCAGAGGAGAGACAGGAGGAACAGGCTGGAGCAGGGAAGAACGAGGAAGGAAGGAGAGCAGAGGAGCCAGGAGAGAAACGGATGGTTGAGGGGGCAGAGCGGAAAACGGGAGAGGGAGAAGAGGACACAGAGGAATCCAAGCTAGACAAGATACCAACAGATTGGGAGATTAGCGGAGCAATACATAGGCTGAAGATGGGGAAGGCGGCGGGAGAAGACGGGATAACGGCGAAATTCTGGAAAAATTTACCGGAGGAAAGAAACGAGGAATTGGTCGGAATTGTTAAGGAGATGTGGAAAAAAGAAGAAATGGTAGATAGGCAGAGGTTAGCTACGATATTCCCCATCCATAAAAGAGGAGATATTAACTCGGCAGCAAATACAGAGGAGTATCCCTATTGGACATAGGATATAAAATACTAGCGACAATAATGGCTCGCAGACTGGGAGGATGGCTAGAAGAGGAGGAGAAACTCTCGGAGGCGTAGGCAGGTTTCAGGAGAAGGCACGGAACAATGGAACAGGTATTCGTGTTGAACACCCTGATTGGGAGCCAGCTAAAAAGGAAGAGGGGGAGGCTATACGTGGCATTTGTGGATTTTAGAGCAGCTTTTGATAAGGTAGACAGAGGGAAACTCTGGAATAAAATGAGGGAAATGGGAATTCAGGGGAAATCTTTGAGGATGACCCAGAAAATCTATGAGGGCACAAGAAACAAGGTGATAACGGGTGAGGGTCTGACAGAAGAATTCAGGACGGGGAAGGGCGTGTGACAAGGATGTCCACTGAGTCCGATACTATTCAACGTGTACATTCAGGATCTACTGGAGGCTATGGAGCAAAGAGGAGAAGGAGGGGCAGCAATAGGGGCAGGAGCTGGAGCGAAGATATATATACTACTGTACGCGGATGACGCGGCTGTAGTGGCGGAGGAGGGAGCGGAGCTAGGGAAGATGCTGAGGACTCTGGAACGTTGGGCTGACGAAAACTGGATGGAGGTAAGCGTGGAAAAAACAAAGATAATGATCTTCAGGAAAGGAAGAAGAAAAAGCGCGGAGAGCTGGAAGTACAAAGGAAAAGAGGTAGAGATAGTGAAGGAGTTCAAGTATTTAGGGTTCTGGTTCACGACAAGGAATACATTCGAAAAGCAGTCGAGGAAGCTAGCTGGAAAGGCACCGATGATGATAAATAAGGGCTGGGGAGAAATGACGCGAGAGAGGTTGAAAAACCTAAGAAGGAGGCTGTATTTTATGGGGGCGACAGTGAAGGTGGCGGCGTTGTATGGAGTGGAGCTGTGGGACTGGAAAAGGCAGGAGGCAATTGAGAGAGTACAGAAGAAGTACATCAAAGCAAGCATGGGACTAGCAAGGAATACGTCAGACTAGATTTGGAGAAAGGAATCTGGAGGGTGTAGTGTGGAGGTAGAGGCGTTCAGAAGGGCAGCGACATTTCTGATAAAAACGAGCAAGATGGACGAAAGCAGGTGGGCGAGAAAGTGCCTGCGGGAAGAGTTAAGGGGAATTATGAATGGACAACTTTCAGAGTGGGGAAAAGGAGTGCAGGAGAAGCTGAGGGCGTTGGGAGATGGCCAATTCGTCGAGAAACTATGGGCTGGAGAACAGGAGGAGGCGGAAAACAGGTTGAAGGCCATGGTGGAGACACTGGAGGATCAGGAGAAACAGCAGGATTGGGAAAGGATAGAAATGTCCAAATATTGTAATTATTACAACGAGGTAAAGGAGAATAATGAAATGGCTGAATATTGGACGGACAAGAGATTAAAGGTGGAGCAGAAAATAGCCTGGGCAAGGTGGAGGTGTGGAAATGTATTCAGGGGTGGGAAGAAGAGCTTCGAGAAGGAAGAGTGCAGGGCGTGCGGTAAGGAGAAGGAGGTTTATTAATTAGCGGGCGAATTAATGGGGAAGCGCTCTGCGCCGAGAAACCATTGAGTTTTTCATTGCGCCGCGAATTGCGTCGCAGTTTTTATTTTTTTATTACAGAGATTAAGGAATGAAACGGGGGTTGAAGAATGGGGAATCTAATTCTCCATAGTACAGTATTAGTTTCATTCCTTAATGTTAATTAGGAGCAGAGATACGATTTTTTAATTAGCGGGCGAGTTGTCGGGAGTCACTGCGCCGAGAAACTGGAGCACGTAGCGTGCTGCAAGGACTTGATGATGAGGCTAGATCAAGCGGATAAGAGGTGGTGGGAAGATTGGAGGAGAGGAAGTAGCTGAAGACAGTGGAGAGAAAGAGCAATCGAGTTGCTTAAGGAAGGCCCTAGGAGGAAAATGTGCGAAAGGCTGAGGAGGTTGGAGAAAGCGCTGAAGAAAATGGAGGAAAAGTAGACGGGCAGTCAGGGATGAAGATGACCCAAGACTTCAGGAATGGAGTAAGATAGGAGGAAGATACTGTGATCTAATAGAGAAGGAAAGGGAGAAACAATTAGATATGGAAATATTGTGTTAATAGGAACTATCTGAGTTGTTAGTTAAAATTTCAAAGTTTAAATATATATATATATAAACATGTACTAAATAATATAAGAAGTGGAGAAAGAAGGGCTGGTGGTGATGTAAAACAAGGAAAGAACTCTTGTAACATCAAGGAAATAAATTGAATTGAATTGAAAATTGAATATTAGTTACTTATTGAAAAGATCAGATGTTCAAGGCCGTTCGTCAGTAGTTTTTTTCAGTGTCACAAGGATTGATAAAAAAAATATATATATTATATCCTATTCATTATCAAAAGACAATAAGGAGTTTTTCTACAGTTACATCTCCAATGACATTGGATTTTTATCTGCGATCGTTTGCAGTTGATTGTATGCATTTAAATTTTTTCAATCCAAATTCAAATCTGCGTTCCAGCGATTTTTGAAAGACAATTAGGAATTATTTTTTAGTTACAGTTTCAATGACATTGGATTCTTATCTGTGATCGTTTGTAGTTGATTGCAGAATTGAAATTTTTTCAATCCGAATTCAAATAAGCGTTCCCTCGATTTTTGAACGCCAAGTTGGAATTGATTGATAGCCGCGGAGAAAATGACATTGGATTTCTATCTGTAATCATTTGTAGTTGATTGTAGTAATTGAATATTTCCACTTCAATTGAAAACAAGTACGGAATTGATTTTATGAAATGGTTTCGAGCAAACAGTTTGCGTCGAGGACCTAAAAGAGATCAGATACTTACAAGAGTTCGTTGGTAGTTGTTTGTAGTGATGAAGAAAATTGGAAAAAATGAAAAAATAAAACAAGGCTGCATATCAAATTTATTAGTGAACGAAATTGGAAAAAGTTCATGTCATCGTAGGACGAAAAAAATATTAATTACTTATTGAAAACATCATATGTTCAATGCCGTTCACCAGTAGTTTTTTGTAGTGTCACAAGAATTCATTAAAAAAAATATATATTATATCATACTCATTATCAAAAGACAATAAGGAGTTTTTCTACAGTTACATCTCCAATGACATTGGATTCTTATCTGCGATCGTTTGTAGTTGATTGCAGTATTGGAATTTTTTCAATCCGAATTGAAATAAGCGTTCCAGCGATTTTTGAAAAACAATTACGAACTATTTTAAAGTTACAGTTTCAATGACATTGGATTCTCATCTGGAATCGTTTGTAGTTGATTATAGAATTGAAATTTTTTCAATCCAAATTCAAATAAACGTTCCATCGATTTTTGAATGCCAAATTGGAATTGATTGATAGCCGCCGACAAAATGACATTGGATTCCTATCTAGAATCGTTTGTAGTTGATTGTAGTCATTGAATATTTCCATTTCAATTAGAAACAAGTACGAAATTGATTTTATGAAATGGTATCGAGAAATCAATTTCCATCGAGAACCTAAAAGAGATCAAATATTTACAAGAATTCGTAAACAAACGACTATAAATGATCACCGATAAGTATCCAATGTCATTGAAACTGTAACTGTAGAAAAACTCCTCATTTTCTTTTGAAAACGAATAGGATATAATATCTATACAGGCTGTCCCGCAACCGACCTTTTTCCTTCGAGGGTATTGAAGAGGGTGCTTTTTGAAGTGCAAAGTTCCTGTTCCATTTTTGGATCCTACGATTTTTTTTTTAGTCTGACTTTTTATTTGGATTGAACTACTAATTTTAGGGGCGAATATTTTTTTTTACAATTGTTAAAAATTTGTTTTTTTGTTTTTTTTATGCGACATGACCCTGAAACCGATAGACGATGGAACACTACTTATACCACGGAATGTACTCGCGAAAAAAATTAGTATGATCCACAATTACTTCTGATTGTTCTCAGTTTTTACAATTATGTTAATAAATGATGAATAATTAATTATTTAGGACTAAAGAGTCTAGAGGAATAAGTATGGTGAAAATGCCCCAAACGAATTTTGAATCACCAATTTTTTCTGTTGTTCATCGTGATAAAATATGCTTGCATGCAAATTTTCAGATTTTTATCTGCATTCCTGCCAGTTTTGTCTTGAAAAAACCATCTTTTTCTTATTTTCACGTTTTTAGCCATCCAAAAGAAATCTAAAAATCTGGAAAAATTCTAAAAAATCATAAATATATCAACACTTGTTTGAGATTTTTTATTTAATTTTTTTATGATAATTTCTATTGGAAAAAAAAATAATTGAGTTTTCAAAAATTGTTTTGAACATCATTGGATGAAGATACAACTTTGGAAAAAATCATCATCTTTCATTTCCTGTTTTTTTATAGAATAGCGTAGAGAAAAAATTTTTTTTTGCCTGCGCCATATTGAAAAAAAATTAAATTGACAAATTTTGAGGTTTTTTTACTGAAAATCTACGTTTAATTCCTTTGTTGGGCCATGTATAACCTCCAACACACGTTCGAATATCAACAAACCCTCGCGCCTCTACCATCAGCTGACAGCAGCGGTGTTGCCCCGATTCCCACCGGATATCACCATTTAGTCAATAAAACAAATATTTTTTGGTCGAAAAAACGAAAAGAAAATTTTACATGTATTACATCCCAACTCAATTTGAATATAAATTGGCGAGATGAATTAATCAAGTTAACACAATTTATTATTCAAGGTTTTTGAAAAAAATGATCAATTTAGTTGTGCACTTGACCCACTTGGCATCCTTAAAGAGACCGATCTGTTGTTACTGTCAATATTCCTATCAATGATGAAGAATTTCGATTGTCTATTAATTTTCCATCGATCCAAATAGTGTTATATTTCACAAATGATCTGTGAACTATGTATGTGAATTTCTAAGGGATTTATGACTGCAAATTGCAGCTTCATTCCCCGTGCAATAATGAGATGATGCGGACAATCTATAAAACTCTGATTTGGGGGAAAATAATGAGTAATTATAATTGTCTAATATGTGAATCAACTATGAAAAGTGTTATTACTCATTAACTGGGCCCAGCAAAGGAATTAAACGTAGATTTTCAGTAAAAAAACCTCAAAATTTGTCAATTTAATTTTTTTTCAATATGGCGCAGGCAAAAAAAAATTTTTTCTCTGCGCTATTCTATAGAAAAACATTAAATGAAAGATGATGATTCTTTCCAAAGTTGTATCTTCATCCAATAATGTTCAAAACAATTTTTGAAAATTCAATTATTTTTTTTCCAATAGAAATTATCATAAAAAATTAAATAAAAATTCTGAGACAAGTGTTGATATATTTATGATTTTTCAGATTTTTTTCAGATTTTTAGATCACTTTTGGATGGCTAAAAACGTGAAAATAAGAAAAAGATGGGTTTTTCAAGACAAAACTGGCAGGAATGCAGATAAAAATCTGAAAATTTGCATACAAGCATATTTTATCACGATGAACAACAGAAAAAATTGGTGATTCAAAATGCGTTGGGGGCATTTTCACCATACTTATTCCACCAGACTCTTTATTTTATTAATTTAGTAATTTGAAATTTATTTATTTTATTTTTTTTATTTGTTTTTTATTATTGAATCTTGCTTTTTTTGCTTGGGAGGGGGGGGGGGGTTGAAATTTAAACGAAAACGGGAGGAAGGGTTGAGAAACGATTCAGGGCCCAAATCATGTGTCCAAACGGGGGTGAGCATTTTTTTTTCAATTTTTTGTTCTCACTCCGCACGTATTGAGCTAAATGAAACATTCGTGAGGGGGTGGAAGCCACGCCCACATGTATCGGGAAGCTTAAATTTTTGCACAGTGAGGGTAGGGGGTTGAGAAATGAGTCCGAGCCCAAATCGTGTGTCCAAAAGAGGTGTGAGTATTTGTTTTCGCTTTTTGCTCTCAGTTCACACGGATTACGGAAAATTGGACATTTCGAGGGGGTGGAAGCCACCCCCGCACTTATCGGGGAGGTCAAAATTTTCACACAA